CGTTTTCGTTTTCGTTTTTGGAGGAGGTGGGGGGGGGGTGGTGGGTGGGGTGTTCTGCTGGATTGGTTGTACACTGGTGTATATAAATCATTTTCATCTGGATGATTCAGGTTACTAATAGGGAAAGAAATTGCGGGTGATGGTGTGATTTAAAAATCCCTTGCTTATTTATTCTGTTATTGGTATGATTGATGGAACCATCATTCAAACACCAGTGTATTTATTTGATTGTCACTATCTCTCTACTGTTAACCAGGATTTACGAGTATATTAAATTTATTAATCAATTGAATAAATTTGGCGTGTCACGTGTTTTGTATAATATATTCCTCATTCTGTGCTGTGAAGCAGTTTTCGTTACTATTTGTTGGTCACCATTGATGGTTGGTTGGCGCGAATATGAATGAGAGTCTGGTTCCTTCCTTTGGTAAGTACCAATAAATACATAGTCTTCACGTGTGTGTATTTTATAGGTATTTCTCGTTTCATGGGGTGCTACAATTTTCCTGTAACGTTTGTTGTTTATTTGGTGTTTCAGGTACTAAAAGTCGCTTTCTGTTGGTTAGCAATTTATGTTTGTTGGAAATATATGCATGAGAGAACTCGGGTTCCTTTCTATGGTAATAATCAATATATTTCATCGTGCACCCGCCTCTACTCCTTATAGTTGTCTGTTGAATATACAGATCATACAATGGCACCATTGATTTTTGTTGGGGTAAATACATGGCATTTCAAAAGTCCTTTTTGCAGTGATGTAATGGGTGTAGTATGATAAATCTTGACTGCTTGTTTCTCCCCCACTTTTTTTTTTTGGTAATGGCAGTGCGTACCAATGTGCAAGGCCTTGCTCTCTTGCTTTATCTTCCTCCGTCTGTTTTCAGGTTTGTAATAACATAGAGGATCAAAACTATCATAAATCTTATCTTCGACAAATCTTGTATAACTTCTTATTGTGTTTCCGGATCATTATCTAGTACTTCATGATCTGGCCCTCACTGAAATACTATATTCTTGGTTTGTATAGTGATTCATGGGACTATTTGAGATTCTCACCAGATTTGATTTGGCAAAAAGCCAACAATTGTCCAGAGTTTGATCAAATGTTATTTGACGTAAATATCCCTGCAGCTTCTCAAGTTACCTGAGATTCCAAACTTTTCTGTTGAAGAGCCAAGTTGGTCGACCAAGGGCAAAACTACCAAGCCAACAATTGTCCAGAGTTTGATCAAATGTTATTTGACGTAAATATCCCTGCAGCTTCTCAAGTTACCTGAGATTCCAAACTTTTCTGTTGAAGAGCCAAGTTGGTCGACCAAGGGCAAAACTACCATTTAGGTCAGTGATGTGCTTTCCCCCCCTGTTTTATCTTTATTTCACTCCTACGGCCTACCTATGTATCTCTTTCACCAGTTTCACTTAATGGCCACCTATTTACCTTTCGTTCCGATATGTCTGGTATTTTCTTTGTTTGTTCCTTTTCATTTTGCTATCTATCTTTTCTCTGGTATTCAATTTTGTTCATGTTGGGCTAAACCAGCCCATAAATAGTGTTACATAGTGTGATATTGTTCCCTTTGGCTAAACTCAAAATCGATAATATCACACATGTAAGAGTATCTGGGCTGGTTTAGCCCAACAACTATGTAGGCTCCCAATCTTTCAAAGTTACCAATGTGGGACGTTGTTTGCACACCCAACAATCTTCCCCTCAAGCTTAGTTCCACTTGGTCCGTTGCCACAATCTACGAGCCAATGTGTGCCACTCTCATTGTTAAACTATTATGCAAGAGAAGCCCGCAACTAGCTTCTTCTTGTGTGTGCATCTCCAAGCTTGTAACGGTAAGCAAACCGAGCCCCACGCCATCACTCCACTATCACCATATTCGCCCCGCCGAACCTGGGATCTAATACCAGTTGTTGGGCTCAACCAGCCTGAAGATACTTCTAAATGGTGTGATATTATCTGCTTTGAGCCAAATCCGCTCGATTTTTTCCAAAAGCCCTTACACCATTAAGAGATCTCTATACTTTATATGTAGGCTCCTAATCCTTTCGGCTACCAATGTGGGACTCACACACCCAACAATCTCTCCCTCGAACTAGGTTCCACGTGGCCCATCACGATCCACGGGTCTCCCACGAGATGCACTGTGTGCCACCCACATCGTCAGAGTATAAT